TTGAGCTCTTTCTTAATCTAGTCAACTTGATATACTAGATTTTAAACTTTAATACTTGAACATATAAACAAATTTCTAGAGTTCGTATATATGAATTCTTATTGAGCATAGACTTAGTAAATTTGAATATATTGAAAAACTTGTATAAAACTTTTAACAGCACTTACCTGGTAGTTGACGAGGTGTGAGCGTGGTGTGGTCGGGTTTTCTTGAAACTTCCTGTAAAAACTTTGATTTCTATGAAAACTTTCTCTTTCAGAACTTAACCTTTTAGTATACAGAGCATTTAAAACTCTAGCTCTGATACCACCTGTAACACCCCGCTTATCAGAGTAAATTTTTCGCAACTTTTACTTCGAATATACTTAATTCTTTCGAAATCTTTTGCGACTAACTCGGGATGCTACTCAAACTCATCATCTTGAAAATCCGTTTATCTTTAAACTTTTGTCTAATACTTCTTTATACATAATTAAAACAGATTTCCTTTAAACTTGCATTTAAAATACCATAATCATATTTCTCATAATGGTAAAAACTTGAAATATGAAATTCATTAAAATGCAAGTTCAATACTTAATGTGCATAGCGGAAATACTTGAAAACGTGGTTAATTATACAGAATGTTATAAATGTCCGTATCAAAGCTTGTCTTCATCTGAGTCCACTATCCACACCAACACTGCTCCACTCACACCTCCTCTTCGACCTGTTACCTGAAACTAAAACTCATGGGGGTGAGTAACGAATATGGATAATCATAAACCGATATCTGATCGGTAACTTAAACTTTTCTCTTATCTTGCCGATAGTTAATCGGATACGTGTGCACACTCTGATGGATATTTCTAAGGCACCTAACGGCCTCCATCAGAACTTAGGATATAATCTCTGAGAACAAATTAATGCCTCCTCATCCCAAGCGTAATAAACTTAAACTTTAGGATATACTCTGAGACAACTGATGGTCTCCTCATCCCATATGACATCAATATCGTACTCAACGTGATACCCATTCAGGGTCCCCACCTTTTTGTCTTTGAAATCATTTGAAAAACGATAAGTGCTGTACTGGTACTGTATCTGCAAGTTACATCAAATATAGACAAATATACTAAGTACTATGCTCATATACTCAATAAGATTTTTAGGATTTTTAACTTATCCAAATCTTATAGAAATTCATTAAACTTGCTTTTTCTCAAGTTTATACTTAACTTCTCTTTTTATTTATACTTAAGGTCAATTACTTAACCTTGTATAAATCATGTCTTCATAAACATTAATATGGTATTATACTTAGCATGTCATAACTCAAATGTGAAAATAACTATATTTCACATTATACTTGATTTAAACTTAAAATATGCTTACTTTTACCAACATCATCAACATGATTTATAAACTTATCTTAACTTAATTTGATCTTTTACTCAATCAAATACTTAATTCATCATTCATCATATCTCCAAATTGGCTTATACTAAATTTTCACTTAATTAACTTGAAAGTGAAAATAATCTCAAGCCATATCATCTTTTACTCATAACATTTAATCATGATGTTAATATATCATACATAATACAATCTTTATAAAATTGTATACTCAACATATTACACCAAAACATCATCAAATTACTCATCACTTATATGAGAATTATTCATGATCATCTCATTTTAACAACTTAAACATTTCATGAATATTCTTGCATATATACTTATCTTTAGATATATGCCTTCTTATATTCATAACTTATTCATTTCTCATCTTTAAATTATGAAACTTAACAGTCATAATCTCAACTTATAATTAGACATGTCCTCAAAATTTCATAATTTTATCATGCATATTCATCAAGTTATGAGAATTTAAATTCAATAGTGAACATAAACTTCATCTTACATGTTCATCTTTAAAAATTCATAACTCAAGCTATATTTTGCCAAATCTCTTAATTCTTGTTTTCATGTACTCCTCTTTTACATAATAATCATTCATTTAAATCATACTCTTCCAGCTTATTCATATCTTTATCAACATCTCATCAAATCAAGTACATATATCATATAATTGATCTTGAACAACTTTAACTCTTTATATTCATAGAATCAATTATAAACTTAACTTCTATATCATGATATACATACTTATAAACATGTAAACTTATTATCAAAACATGAACTTAAGCATGTAACTTTAAGATAAGTAAATTACCTCCTTCTTCCTAGAATAAAAACTTGATTCTTTACTTCAAATTCTTCACTTCTCCAAAGTTTCTACTACTTATCTCTCTTACACTCTTATGTAACTTTTGGTACTTAAATTTGGTGCATAAACTCTGATTTTTAGGCCTCTATTTATAGGCACAATTTGCAAGACATCATAATTGAGTGAAGAAATTAACAAAATAAACAATACAAACTTGTAAAAATAAATATAGATAATAAATAGTATTCTTAACTTGTAAACTTCTCCAACCCATAGTCAATGCTTAGAAAGGCCCCTCTTCTGATCCTAATCTGATATCAATGATTAAATTCGAGATTTAGTGAAATTCTCCAATTTACGGAACCAAATTCTGACTTAAAACGAAGAGTTACCGTAAAATCGAAAATTCTTACAATTTTCGAATTTCCTTCTTTTCTTTTGGCATTTTTCCTTTTTATGCTGAAAAATTTTTCTTATCTTGTAGTCTACTAAAAATATAGACAGAAAATAATTTAATTTATTTCTCGGAACTGAAATCGGACATATATTCCGACTACAATCAAAAACCGAAAAAAAACGAAAATTCTAAAAAATTTCATATTTCTCTCTAATAATTTAAATAGACTAAAATGTCTAAATAAATTTTCTCACTTCTTTGAACATTTATAACTTAAATGTTCATGGATACTAACTCAAGACCTAACTTGTCTCGACTCATTATTCATTTTCTTTCATTCAAACTAGAAATGGCCAAATTTACATCCATTTAGCTAAATAAAATGGAATGTTACTTGAACTTGAACTTCATCTTAAATAACTTATTTCAATTCAATAAACATTAATGTCTAATTAATCTTTATAACTTAATCAATACTCAAAACTAAGCTAGGCTCGAGAATCATTTGCTCGGTAATAATCTTAACTCGTAACCGAACATGCTTGGTTCACGACTTATCTTGAACGAGTAATCAAAATATACTCGATTTTTATTATTCGTCATCTTATTATAATTAATCCCATCTTATAAATCCATTTATAAAAATAAACAGACCAGAATTAATTAATTACTGAACTGGCTCGATTACTAAATAAAATTTAAACGATAACACTTTCAACTTAAAGTCGAACTTTTAACTGAATAACTTAATAACTGGGCTCGAAACTAGGAACGAGCATTATTAATAAAAGTAATTAGTTCAAACTTAGAACTAAAATAATTACTTTTATTAATTACTGAATGGGATATTACATGTTAGGTCCTTGATTGGTTCAGTGGCAAGAACTTCCTTTGTTGGTTGTGCTGATACCTTATTTTATCATGATGGTGTTGGTTTGTTGGTATTCAAGTCATACTGAAGAGTCCTGCTGGTGGTGCCTTTGGTTGATGCTGCAGAGTAATCTGATCTTGGTTGTAGTATTATCTTTGCTGGCTTATTTGTAGTGAGCTAGTGGTATTTGTATTTACTATTGTTTTGTATTGGTTTTTATTGGCTCTATTCTTAGTTGTCTAGGGCACCTTGGTGTGGCCCTTGTGGGATTAGTTGATTCCCCGGGTTGTAAAACTTTTATTATTGTGCTATGAGATTCAATTTGTCGTCTTTCGAAAAACAAATAAGACTGATATTTATAGTAAATTTGTTTTAGTTTGCAATTCTAACTGCCAAGTGTTTTTATTTTTCATTCCCTTTCCTAACTCGTAATGTATATCGAGTCTATTTCCTAACTAAGTTAGGAGTAGCCAATCATCATATTTATTGAGTCCTATATATATATTAGGACGGTCAATAATACCCACATATTTCACAATTTTTAAATTAAATCACACAATAATGTTAAAATTAAAATTAATAATGAACCTATAATTTCCATAATATATGTACACATAAGAGAAAACAAAACAATTATTTATAAAACATGAAGATTATTTCTAAAAGTGTCGTAGTATTTGAAATTAATATAAATATTTGTAGATCTATCATATTATTTGAATCTATCACAAGTATTTCTTGAAGTTTCTTTTTACTATAGATATTTTACTTAAATATAAGATCATTTGATTTTTTATTTTTTATTTTTATGTAATTTTGTGCATATGAGTAGCTCAATATTTTTCGAATAACTCATGAGTACAAACCCGTGAAAAGGGGTTGGGAATAAAAAGATTCAACACAAAGATGATTTCTGACTAATTTTGAAGTGAAAAATTTAACATCAAACGGTAATTCTTCTTCAACCATGTACTAAACTCATTCTAACACTCAAAATAATATATTTGCAAAATTTTGTCTTTCACATTAATATTACAATTTTCTATGCTACTCACATGTTTCACGATTTTTATAAATTAGACCACACGATAATTTTAAATTTGATTGGAAGAACATGTAACATAATTTATATAATTCATGCACATGAGAGAGAATAAAACAATTATTCTAAAACATAAAAAATACACTAATATCTTATGTACTTATTTATGTATTTAGAAAATATTTTTAATTTTTAGCACTAATTTGCTAATCTTAATTTTTATTTTTCAATTTCATTTATTTTTATTTTTATTTTGTATTTTAAATTATTTTATCATAATTATATGAATTTATTACAAATATTTTTTAGAGTTTCCTTATTACTACCGTCAATTTATTTAAATTTTAGTATTAATATTTTTTATAGATAAAATTTGTTTCCAAGTATTTTTATGAATATTTTGAAGATAAGTTAGTTCAAAATATTTGTAGTAAAATTTTAGTGTTAAAAGAAAGTTGAAAGAGAGGAACACTAACATGCCCTAGAAAAGAATAAATGAACTACCTGTAAGTCCATGGTCCTTGACTAATGCAAAGCTTAGTGTCCAAGGATACATTCCTACCTGCACAAAACACCCAGCAAAAGGATATGTTCCTACCTCGTGGTTGATGCTTGTAGTTTGTATTATTTTTTGTTAACAAATTCTTACTGTTATCAAATTTATAATTCGTATATGTAGTAACACTCATATTTAATCCCAACAATTTGTAAAGATAAAGTTGCCAAGTTCTGCCAAGAGAATTATCTCAGTTTACTGAACCGGCCATGAAACACGGGAAAAATCACCCTCAACATCTCTATGTATTCACGATGCATTTTGTACCACCATAGTAAGACATGTTGCATCCCGTTGATGCTAGTAATTGTTTTTATGTACAAAGAATCTGGCTAAATCAAAGAGAAAAGTATACTAAACGACCATTCTTGGTTGTTGTTCATTCAAGATTCCACGGGAAAGAGTAGGTTGTTCATTGCTGAACTTTGCTTCTTTAGATTTTGTACACAAGACTCTAATAATACAACCAAACAACAATCCATACTATGTTTAGAAACTCCAATTTGCCTGAATGACCTTTTTTTTAAGATAAAGTAGAGCTAGGGCACGAGCGTTTGTTGTCTCATTGGAGTCAGAAGCCGTGCAAAGCGCAAAGGAACGTGAGCACTTACAACAGTTCCATTCTCGACATATNGATAATTAACTGGAGAAAAGAATGGGTTGATTTTACCATAAAAAGTGAGCAGATAATGATATTTCACAAATGTTTATGTCTAAAAAAGGATTAAGTAACAGAAAATCCTATGTATAGTAACGCTTACTGTTTTTTCAACCATGCCAACATGATGTATGGTGCTCAGGAGTTCCCCTTTCTCAAAGGGAATCAGAGCTTCCACCCACACCATCATATCCTGTTCAAAATATGAAGCATAAATTAAAGTAGACTAGTGTGTACCCGTGCGATGCACGGTAACAATATTATAAATATACCTCAAGTTTGAGTCACTCAATGACGAAAGTGGAAACTACTATTGATCCTATTTAAAAAGAGGAAGAAAAAATAATAATTATATATTAAAGTGTCGGGGTCAGACAATATAAAATTATTTTGTATAAGAGAATATAAATTTTACATTATTTTGTATAATAGAATATAAAATTTGTATATTTAATATTGAAAACACCTAAAATATTATATTAGTATATGTAAAAGTATTCAAAATTTTCTATATTATTATTAAAAGATATAAGTTACCTACAACTTTTCTAAACAATTTTAAAAAGAAAACATATCTAAAAACATTTGAATTTAACATTATGTAAAAAAAAAATTCTAGACTATTTTGCAAAAAAAGCATGTCTACAAATAATTAAATTTAACATCAATTATGTATATGCGTATATATGTATATATAGGCGAATATGTAAAAAACAAATGTCTAAACAATTTGTTTAAAGTAACTAAAATATTATAAGGCTAATTTAATAAACACCTTCGGCCAAAAAAAAGGAAAAGAAAAAAACAAATATATACACATTAAATCAAATATAATGTTTCGAAATTTCTGCCTAAAAAGTTTAAATGAAAAGGGAAACAAATCAACACAATATCTATTATTTTGTTAACCTAAAAAATAGGAAAAAGGGAACCATCACAAAAACCATGGCATGTATTATTTTGTTAACCTAACAAAATAGGAAAAAGAAAATCGGTTTTTTTGTTAACACTATATCACTATTTATTTAATGATTTTAGAGGGAAAATAATGATTTTAGCGAGTATTTAATGATTTTAGAGGAAAAATAATGATTTTGGAGGGTATTTAATGATTTTGGAGGGAAAATAATGATTTTGGCGGGAAATCGTAAAAAGGTTATTCTTTTAATATAATGATAGATGTCACACACAGATATCTCCATTTTGGAAAAATAAAGGGAAAAGATATAATAACAAACCGAATATGCAATTTATCAAATTTTTGACAATATTCAAAATTACCCTTAGCTTTTCTTGAACTGCATTGCAGAAATCATCTAGCCCTTCACCAGTTAAAGCAGATATGCATACGACATCTGCGGTTTTCTTGGCTTCGGACCTGATTTTTTCAGGGTCCCGTGCATTATCAACCTGTAAGAATAAGTTAGATACTCTTGAAATTTGGACAAATTACAGAATGCCTCAATTATCGTTCAAAATAGGAAGTGCCCTCTTAAAGCATTACTAACGCCCCTCGAAATTTGCATTTCCAAAGTAGATATTGTATCACCCTATGTGGCAGTAGGATGCAATATGTAAAACTGAATACTATAAAGTGTTATTCATGATTCTGAATGATTATGTCCAGGATAATTTTTTTTTAATGAGAGATCAAGTTATTACATTATGGACATACTTGAGACAGCAGATACTTCGTGAATTGGATCCAATAATCAACGAGATGGTAACTCCCGCTTAAAAATAATCAAATTTATAAACAGAAGTTATATCATAATACCTTGTTCCAAACGATTAATTTTGGAATGGAAGATGTATCAAGCTCTGCAAGAACTTTGTCAACGGCTTCTATTTGTTGTTCTGCCAGTGGATGGCTGATGGAAAAACCAGAATATGATTAGTGATTAGAAGCCATTCACTTGTGACTACATGACCCGCTTTTGAAAATTGTCCAATTGTACCTAATATCCACAACATGCACCAGAAGTGATGACTCGGATATTTCTTCAAGAGTTGCCCTAAAAGCAGCTACCTGTAATAAGAATGCCCAAGATTACATTTCAGAGAACATGAAAAGCAGATGTACACTAGTAGTAGGAAATAACCACGAAATATAAGAATGAGAAGTGTTCTTGCCAGTGTTGTTGGTAACTTTTGAATGAAGCCAACAGTGTCTGTTAAAAGAAATTCCTTCCCATTATTCATCTGGACAAAAGAAAATAAAATAATTGCTTGAAATTAGGGTCTGCCAGGAGAACATTTCTTGGTACACAATTTGTAGTTAAAAATGTTGATTCAATATCCACTACAGAATGACAGGTATTTTTTAATTTAGTATTGAGTAGAGGGAAGTGTAAGTAAAAAAAAATTTGCAAACTGGTTGAACATCAAAATATCTTTATCAATATTCTCTCTCAGGCAAAAATAGGCATCTAGTAGCGAAGTGTGTTGCATAAAATTGAATACGAAGAAAGATTGACAAAATAGGAGCAAATTGTTGAAGATTTATAAAAAGAAAAAATGTAAAACCATTTCTCAAGAAGACTTTCAGGTCTAAACCGCAAAGGAATGCAAGTGAAGACCTATTTCTCGAAAATACACAAGAGAAAACAATTATCAAAGAAATTATTTCGAGATTAGAAAATCAAATAGTTCTGGATCAAGTTGAAAGAAAGAAACTAAAATAGTGAAATATTTACTTGCCTGCACTCTTCTTGTAGTAGGATCAAGTGTAGCAAATAGTTTGTCCTCAGCAAGAACGTGAGCTCCAGTCAATCGATTCAAAAGTGTACTCTTTCCAGCATTTGTGTACCCAACCTGATCAATATCTCAGTTGAAATTCATCACTCTTTGTAAAAGCTTAAGAAATTAACTAGTAAGACTCAATGTTATAGTATTTAACTAATATCTATATCCAATATCATGCACAAGCAATAGGAAAAGCAGAAAACCACACAAACAATATTATCTTCCACTATTATAAGTTTAGAGAAACTTGTAATTCTGATTCTATTCCCAAAAATGTAAAAAAGAAAGGTTGCATATTACCAAAGACACAACTGGGACTGGCACAGCAGAACGTTGGTTTCTGTACTGCTTGCGATGTTTACGGACAGTCTCTATCTCTTTCTTGAGAGCAGCAATCTAAATAAATTCCCGGAAGCCTAAAGAGTGAGCAACACATGTATGCAAACTATGGTACTAGCAGAAAAACGCATTCATGGAAACTTGATAGTTGATATAAGCAATTCAAAGTGCACAGAAAAAAGACTTTTCTAAGAGGAAAAAGAGAATGTATTACTGCATTCATGATCACAGAATAAATGACTGGCTGAACGATAATCAATGTAGCAAACCAAAGATTCTGACAAAACTTCGCAAGATTTTCCATACAAACATATAAAGTAAAATATGCAGCTACTATCAACAAGTAGCTTGCATGCACAGTATGACTTTCTACTAGAACTGGACAATATATGAGAAATGGAAGTTATCAAACAACAGAGAAAAAAAGGGAAGATCATGAACTATGGAGAAAGGAAAAGGCAACAATCATGGCATCCAATAATTCACAAGCGCAAACAAAGTATGGAACTTTTAGCAGAAGGCAAGATGCTCACCTGATCAGTTAAGATACGTTTATCAACCTCAATTTGTTTCTCACCCATACCCTTCACCTGTCCTCCAGCCTGGCGCTCAAGGTGGGTCCACATTCTCGTTAGCCGAGGTAGTTGATATTCCATCTGAGCCAGCGACACCTGAACGTAAAAGATTATTTTGTTAGCATCAATATACAGATGCTTTCACTGACAAAATTTTTCTGTAAAAAAAAATTTGACCTGCAAAGAAGCTTCACGGGTGGCTGCTCGCTGGTTGAAGATATCCAGGATTAGAGCAGTACGGTCACACACCCTAACATCTCCACCAAAGGCTTTCTCCAAGTTCCGCAGTTGTCTGACTTCAGATACGTGAACACAGTTAATTAAGAAAGAATAAATATGTATACATAACCAAATTGTGACCCAGGAACAAAACCAAATAGCAGAGTCTTAGTTATATTAAACTAGGCAAATAATAGCAACTATTGTTATCAATTACAAATCTTCAGCTTATGAAGAACCAACCCAGGGGAAAGTTCGTCGTCAAAAATCACAGTCTCCACATCAAATGCATGTATTGCGCTCTTAATTTCAGCAACCTTCCCTGATCCTATATATGTCCTGGGATTCAGTGTAGCAAGTCTGCATAAAACACACCAATCACCGCAAAAATCCGTGAACTATGCTTCAAAGTGCCCACAAAAACTAGAAAACTTGTATAAAGTATAATAAAAAGGAAAGAATGAAAGAACATAATGTTATTACTCACTTTTGATAAGTAGTGCCAACAATACGTAAACCAGCTGTATCGGCTAGCTGCTCTAATTCACTAAGTGATTCCTCTATGTCAAAGCCACCATCTGTATAGCCTTTCCTTGCCACACCAACTAGATAAGCTTTCTCTTCAAACACCTAGCTTCAAATTCTCCGCTTAGTAATAAAAATTATAAGCATATGAAGATCTTCTAAAGTCCTAATCATCATTCATTTCAGTTACGAAATGCAAAACCAAATCTTCAAAGATAATTCA